TTCGTGTCAAACTACTATTATGGTTAAAAAATATAAATAATTTTGACGACATTAACATTATATTACTCTACAGAGACATAAACAGATTATCATCAGCCTTTAACTTGAATCTGATTGAGAATTAAAAATGCAGAAAATAAGGAATGCATGATGTGAAAAAATGTAAAAAGTGAATCTTTTGCTACCCTACATTGTTTTTCATAGAACTCTTCTGAATATGTGCTGAATATGTGCAGCCAGCTCTGTGAACGCTACAAACACAACACAACATAAATATATATATATAACCCAGAAGCTCCAGATATATTCCCCAAATGTTAGATATAATGCAATATCTCACCTCTGACAGCCAGCCGGCTCTCTGGTGATTCTCCACCTTCAGAGATGCTGCACTTGTAGACTTCATGCACAAAGTGAGTAATGTGTTTCTTCATGATGTTCTCAGCCACGTGTTAAAGCTCCCATGTCATGCTTTTCCGGTTATTACCCGTCCCCTTGTGTGTTATGAAGGTTTTTATGCATGTAAACGGTGTGCAGAGTCAAAACCCTCAAAGTACACCCTGTAGCGAGTAAAACTCTAACACAGAAAATACCTCCCCAAAACGCCTCGTTGGAGATACGTCACTGCCCATTTGATTCTTCCGGGTACCGCCTGATGTCATGCGGTACCCGGAACGAAATGGACCAATCCCGAAGAGCTATGGCCACACCAGCAGCGGCGTGTTCCTCATCCAGAGGTTCGAACCGGCATTTTCACAGACGAAAGCTTCCAAAACATTGCCCAGTTTGAGGCCGGATATGCACAGCTTGTTTGGACCGTTTGGAGCAGGGGAAGATCCGGGTATACAACCTGTAAGTTTGCATTGTTATTTGTGTATTTATCAAACAAGACTGTTTAAATGTGTAAACTGTGTTGGACTGCTAAGCCATTGACACAGTGCTAACTGTGCTAACTAAGTTTCTAAGAAACTGAGTTTCCATATATCAACTCTAATATCAGCAGATGGCCTTGCATACATGCATCTCATAGCAGGAGAATGTCTGCATTCACACACAAAATACCTATTGACAGTATACTCCGGGTGATTTGCCGTGCGGTCAGTCGCGAAACGTAATTACATTATAGCTGGCGTAGCGTGTATGCAACCGATCTAACACACGGAGCTAGAGCTAGATTTGGTCGGAAAAACATTTTTGTGATGCTACGTTGCTAGCGTTTAAATATATCAACTACAATGTCAGCAGATGGCCTTACATGTTTGTCATGGCAGGAGAATGTCTGCAGTCACACACACGGAATACTCATACAGTATAGTCCGGGTGATTTACCGTACATTGTGACAGTACATGTACATACTGCATGTAGCTAACGAGGCTAGCTGTATGCTAGCGCAAAACAATGTATTCATGCAAGTTACATTGTATGGTAGCAGAATACCCGTATACGATTGCAATTATAAACACGTTATTGCTAGCCTAATATGAACCACTAGCTTTTGTTCATACTGTAGTAGTTTTATTACACTGCATTATAGTTGCCTTTCCTCCAAGCTAACGTTCATATCGTGTTAGCTACCAAGGTAAACAAAGCTAGGTTAGCATATTAGCAGGCAAGCTGTTCATTACACAACTACTACTAACGAATCTAAAAACAACTAAGTTTCTCTAATATTTTGTGATTTGCATTTGATTTCGTCCAGCCAGATCCTGGCGGACAATCCATGACGGGGACGGGATTCTACTACTACTGAGGCCTCGTGCTAAAAGGCACCGCACCGACTGTGCGCAGGCAAGATGCGAGGAGGAATGGATGATATACCGTGTGTATATATGTATATTTATGTTCATTTTGTACATTTCTAAAAATAAAGTTTAATGGAAATACTTAGTAGGCCTATCATTTCTTCCCTGAATTCATATATTAGCAAACCATGATTTGATTTCTCATCAAACAGTAGTAGTTTATAACGGGTAAAAATAACTTACTCTTTGTTATGACCGGCTCGTAGGCCACAACGGAAAGGCAAGGAGACATACACAAGTTTACAAAACCACGGCACATTTATTGTGGTAAATGCAGAGATAGGTGGTCGAGGGGAGAGGGTCGCTCAGTCCGTCCTTCTGCAGCCGCTTTGGAGAGAGACTCCGGGCCGCTGGGATTAATAGCACCGGCTACGGAGGTGTCCGTGATCGCGCTGATTACCCTCTTCAGCTCCACCCCACCGTAAGCCCTGCAACACACCTGCACAAAGGCCCTGGGGCCGTCACACTCTTCTATAACAACAGTTGTAGGTTCAGTTCGGTTAGTTAGTATAAAATATCAGCTGTACCGACGCCATTATTACACTGATGTTCCCCGAAAAAAGCGGGCGGAGCCTCTCTGGTGGTTGACTAATCAGAACAGACTGGCCGAGCTGACCAATCGGAGCACACTAGGCTCACAGGGAGGGGGGGGCAAGAGCTCCAACGAGTCGTTTAGTGGAGAAAGTGAATACTGCTGAATACACATGCTTGACAGAGATGCTGTATGCGAAACCAATGTGAGTTTGGAAAATTGCACAGTATAAATCTATTTTAGTATACCTCAACAATGTAATTATGATCAGTGGAAATGGCCATGACATGGGCCCTTTAACTGGTAACGGTTTCATCTAGAGCTCTGAGCTGAAACCACAGAGTCTGACCCCAGCCTCAGAATACTCTGCACAGGAAGAGGAAGTTCTCACTCACATTATATTTCTGTGTCTCACAGTGAGACGCTCAGACAGCAGGAACACATCATGGAGGTCACAGCGCTCTGCAGCCGACTGCGTGAGTCTCAGCTTTCTTTCAACTTTCATTTATTCTTTTATATTAACACATATGAGGCTGATTTACAGTTGTCTTTATTTTTATATCCAGTGACGTGTGTCATCATTCTGCTGGGTGCACACATTCAGAAGAGCTCTACGCAAAACTATGGTGTGTAGCAACTACTAAAGATTCACATGCTCATGTCGATAGGAAATACCAGTGTGTCCGTGCATTGTGTTGTGTTGACAAATACAGTGATTTTCTTCGATTAACATCATAGTTTTGCAATATTTGTATAAACCAGATGATTAATTGTCTCTCACTTTCAGACGCAGCTTTGCACATTGTCACAGAGAGACTGCAGCTCTTTGAATACGAGCCCTTCTCTTTTCTCTGCGAGGGTCTTGGCTCTGCTCTGAGGGGGTTTAGGAACAACAATGAGTTAATTCAGGGTTGTTATATTATTGCTTCATCAACACTGAACTGCACCATTCAACAGGCCTATGATTCAGACAGTGGAGTTTACTGGTGTGAGGATGAGAAAGGAGAGAAGAGCAACTCTGTCCACATCACCGTCACTGGTATGTTTATCATAATTAAGACTTTTTTTTAAACTGCAATGCTCTTTAATTCAGATATACTGCACCTATTTTTCAATGTTACATCTATATACAGTACTTGTAAAACATATTGATTCTGACCAAGTGTGTCATAAATATGCAGGAAGTGCAATGACCCTTAGCTTTTTAAATATGCAGACGATACACTACTCTATGTTACTATCTCATTTCTGATTTATTGATCATGTAGTTCTGTTTATTTCTGATATTTTCATTCAGTATGTGTATGTTGCCACATTTTACATTCACTGTATTTTCAGGATGACATTTCTTCCTTCTGTCTAAATCACCTCCTATTCTTTATTATAAATAACAGATAAGACTAAACGTTTGATCCCGATGTTGTTCAGGTGGCTCTGTGATCCTGGAGAGTCCTGTGCTTCCTGTGATGGAGGGAGAATCTGTGACTCTGAGCTGCAGAAACAAGACGACCACTTCCTCCATCCTCTCAGCTGACTTCTATAAAGATGGCCGCCTCATCAGGAGCAGCTCTACAGGAATCATCACCATCCAAAGAGTCTCTAAATCTGATGAAGGACTCTACAAGTGCAACATCTCTGAAGGTGGAGAATCACCAGAGAGCTGGCTGACTGTCAGAGGTGAGATATATAAATAAGATGTATGAGATTATCTAATTAAACGACAAAGACGTTAAGAGAGAGCTCAAAGAAGAGATAACTCAAATCTAGAGCCCAGAAACTGAGAAATCACTTCTGTCATTAAATCACTTTAATGACAGAAGTTTCTTTGTTCGTATGTTTCTGAGTTAGGATTATCTAGCGAAGTGCAGTGATCTACTTCCTGCCAGGCGTGTGTGTTATGCAGAGGGATTTAGTGCCCCGCTTGAAGCCGTTTGGATCAGCAGTTCTGTAGAAAACTGTAAAAACCTGGTCTGCCCTGCTTGGACTTCAACCCACCTTTAAACCCAAGAAGCTACGGCACGACCACATCCTGCACAGGCTCTGAACTAGTGTCTTCAGATGTTATGAACATGCTTAAAACCTTTGTTTCTCAGCTGGCTCTGTGATCCTGGAGAGTCCTCTCCTCCCTGTGAGAGACGGAGAATCTGTGACTCTGAGCTGCAGAAACCAGATCTCCATCCTGTCAGCTGATTTCTATAAAGATGGCCACCTCATCAGGAGCAGCTCTACAGGAAACATCACCATCCAAAGAGTCTCTAAATCTGATGAAGGACTCTACAAGTGCAGCATCTCTGAAGGTGGAGAATCACCAGAGAGCTGGCTGGCTGTCAGATAATGCACTGTAGTTTACATTTGGAGAATATATGTGGAGTTTTTTATTATATATATTCACGTTGTGTTGTGTTTGCAGCTGTTCACAGAGAGACGTGTCCCTCCTCGGATCACTCCCTTCACGTCCTCCTCGTCTTAAGGACTGTGTTCACCGTAGTGATGGTGGCTCTGCTGCTGCTGCTGCTGGTGGGACTGCTGCATTGTGGGAAACTCAGGGTCACACAGAAATAACTCATGTACAAAGATCAGAGATAGTTTGGTCATCAAGACAATGAACACCATGAGGACATAGATTTTCTCACACTCAAGACAAAGTTAAAAACCACAGAGATACTGACTGACGCATGCATTTATTTTAAAAGGCGAGCTGAGGGTATGTTGATCTGAGTTTTATTTTAGACTCCAGATACTTTCAGCTTCTCAGACACAACCCACAGAACATATATTTTATATAAATGTATGTGTATATGTAGAAGAGGCTTTTAAGAGGCTTTGTAGAAACAGAAAAACATTCACAGTTTCATGGCATAAACGTAGCGTATAACATAATTCTGTGGATTGAACATAATAATAAGTAGCACCCCATGTGACATGTATTAAAAACATACATGGAAGTTGGTATTTCCCAAAGCGAACATTATCAAAGCGGCACATCAGCTTCTGAACCTATCAATATAAAACACAATTTCAAACATTTCCATTTCTGAGATTTCTAAATTATAATTTTTTAACGAAAAGAGTAGATTTTCAGTAGAATATAAAAGCAGTGGCCATCAATCAAAGGAAGATCTGTTTACCACAAAACATGTTTTAAATTGTTGAATATCAGAATAATAAAAGTGTGTCTGTAAATGGTTGATCTCCTCGTCTTCACTGAGCGTCACAGCAACCTGTGTTTGGGCAGGAAGTCATGCTGTTCCTGTTTATGATGTTTATAATGAGAACTTTCTCTCATGACTCATCTCATCTCAATTTGAGCTACTTCCTGAAACTCCTGCTGTGTTTTTGCAATTGAGAGTTTATTTGAAACTTCTAATAAAAGTGGAGTAAGATCAACAGAGCAGAACAGAGGAGGTTAGTTATTCTGTTTAAGTGGATTACATACAGAGTTCATATTGCATATCTCCAGTTTTGCTGTAGAGGGAGAACTTCAGTCTGTCTCCAGAGCTCCAGGGCTTCAGATCCTTCCACTCCAGCTCAGTGTCAGAATGACTGTGACCTTGACCTGGAACCCTTATCTGTAAAATATAAAATCACAGAATTACAAGCAGAATCATTGAATCATGAAATAATTAAAATAATAATGCATTTTTTATATTCTTGTGTTTTAACATATAATTCAGTTCTGAATGAAAAACATTTGAAAAGGAAAAATGCAACATAAAGTGAGAGAACTAGAAAGACTCACAGTGACATCTCTTCCAGCCTCAAGTTTCAAAGATTGATGAAATGTGTACATGATGGGATCGTTGTCGTTAACCTGCAGATTTAACACCCAGCCTCCCAGCTTTGTACTGCAGGAGGTTCAATAAGGGGAGAGAGAGAGAGAGAGAGAGAGAGAGAGAGAGAGAGAGAGAAGAGAGAGAGAGAGAGAGAGAGAGAGAGAGAGAGAGAGAGAGGAGAGAGAGAGAGAGAGAGAGAGAGAGAGAGAGAGAGAGAGAGACTGACATTTATGATGATATTTGAACCCACTGTGTTTGTAGATGACATGAAAACAAGAGAAACTGGATTCTAGGCATCGAGTCATTTTGATGGTTTGAACAGCTCATTTGAGATATGGATAAGTTACATTACTCACACTTATAAAGCACTCATGCAGAGTTTATCCACACAAACAACATTACCTTAATGGAAGTGTTTCTGAGCCAGATATATTTGCACTGTTGGTCGACATCGATATTAAATCCTGAGTCTGAGGTCTGATTCTCCGAGCGGACGCCCTCCTGCTGCTCCTCATATCCAACAGCTTGCGCCTGAGAGTCAGACAATACACACAAATACTCAATCCCTGTGTGTGTGTGTGTGTGTGTGTGTGTGTGTGTGTGTGTGTGTGTGTGTGTGTGTGTGTGTGTGTGTTTTGTGGTCTTGTTAGTCTCAGAAACACTTACCTTGCTCTCCACCTCTTCCTTTAGATCCTTCAGTTCTCTCTCAGCTTCCTCTCTTCCTCTCTTCTCCTCCTGGAGCTTCTTCTCAAACTGAGATGTAAAGAGAGATAAAGACATTTGAACTTGATTTGAAGGAACATAACATCCTGGTCTGGATTCAAACTAGTTCCTGGTCTGCATCATATTTTCTCTCAAAGGAACAATAAATACTTTTCTTCCTCACAGTTGACCTCGAGTCCAGTTTCAGTCGTTCAATGTCTTGCATAGAAATAAAAAGATATTTGTGTGAAAAGATGAACCTCCTTGTTTTGGTCCAGCAGCTCCTTCAGATGTCTCCTAGCTTCCTCTTCCCTCTTCTGCTCAGTGAGGAGTTGATCGTTTAACTGGAAGGAGGAGACATGTTATTTATTTATGATAAGCTCATTAACCAAATGAAATGTAATGTAAGTAAATGTACATAACACATAACCACATCACACACAGTTTAAATCACAGGAGGAAATGTCATATTTTACACCAACAAACATCTACACAGTGATGTGTTTGTGTGTGTGTGTGTATCTGTGTGTGTGTGTGTGTGTGTGTGTGTGTGTGTGTGTGTGGTGTGTGTCTGTGTGTGTGTGTGTGTGTGTGTGTGTGTGTGTGTGTGTGTGTGTGTGTGTGTGTGTGTGTGTGTGTGTGTGTGTGTGTGTGTGTGTGTGTGTATGTGTACCTCTTTCTTCAGCTGCCTGTTTTCTTTCTCCTTGATCTCCAGTTGACTCCGTGTCTCCTTCAGCTCTTTCTCAATCTTCCATAGGTCAGCATGTTTTTGGTCCGTTAGCTGTCAAACACACAGATGTTGATTTCAACTGTTTACTTAAAGGGGACCTATCATGCAAAATGCACTTGTGTACGTCTTTTCTACATGAATATGTGTCCCCGGTGTTCCAGGGAACTCACCAAGTGTCAGAAAACACAACCCTCTCTATTTTCCTCCATACCCAAATCTCTAAAAAAGGGGCTGCAACGGATCTGATAAAAACTGATCCAGATTTGAACACTGTCCTGACGTCAGGACGGTGGCGCTACGGCTATTGGGCCAACTCCACCAATCAGCAGGAGACAGCCACGGCCATTGCCGTTCGAAAGCGCTGGAGACGCTGTAGTACATATGCCAGGCCTGTAGATGGTGCTGTTCTCACTGAATCAGCCCAGAGCTAGAAATTGTCAAATTGTAGCATGATAGGTCCACTTTAAGTAAAAATAACAAAAGTGTTTTGACCAAAAAATGTCCCCGTAGGACATCAAAGATGAAATATTTCATATTCAGTTTATTTACAGAGCTTGTGCTCATTTCTTTATTCCTTCACCTTAATCAACAGCTCATTTAAGTTATACTATTATATACTTTATACTTTGAAGTCAGAAGAAAATAATGATCAAAGTCCATTAAATCGAGAGTGGCTTCAATTCAATTTTACAATCTTATAATTCTTTGACTCTTTGAGAGATGACGCTATGTGTTGTTACACGTTTTAATAAGTTTATGATATTTAAAGCAGTTAATGTGGGATTTCAACTTTAACGAACAGATAGGTGGAAGATTAACCTTTTTTCTCTCTGTCATCTCCTCCTTCATCTCCTCTTCCCTCCTCTTCATCTCCTCCTCCCTCCTCTTCATCTCCTCCTTCATCTCCTCTTCCCTCCTCCTCCTCTCCTCTCCTCCTCTCTGTAGATCAGTGTGTAGTCTCTCCACCTGAGAGGAGACACAGACAGAAGAAGAGAGACCTCCAGATGAACTCTTTATAGCTGGACTTCCAGATGATCAGAGTCAAAGGTGTGTCTGTGTTAGTGAGTCAGCAGAGTGAAGAAAGAGCAGTGAAACCAGGTTTAGATGCATGTTGTTACTTTATCTGAGAAAGGAGGGGAAAGGATTTGATCTAGGACACGAGTAGCTTCCCTGGATATCATACGCTGTCTTTGAATGACTTTGATTGGAGATATCAAACACAAACCTCTCTGGTCTCATTCTGCAGCTTCTCCTTCAGGATGGAAACTTCTTCCTCAGCTTCCTCCCTCCTCCTCTTCATCTCCTCCTTCAGCTCCTCTTCCTCCCTCCTCTTCCTCTCCTCCTCCTGAGACTTGTTTCTGGATAATATCTTCAGTTCAAACTAAAAGACGAGACAGGAGAGATGAAATATCACATTTGACCAAATGCCTCTCAGTAAGTTCATATTCACACGTTTCCTCCCAGCTCTTCTGCAGACAGAGATTATAAAGGAAGCTTTATGTAGGTCAGGAAACCAGAAGAGAGTATTGATCGTATTGATCTGAACCCACTTACCGGTGAAGAGGAGGAAGAACTGGCTTCAGCAGCTCGGCTTCTTTCCAGCTGGAGAAGTGGAGAGATTAAGACAGACGTGTTCATGTGTTCTTACATGTTATTATCTCAACAACTAAAACTCTCATTTCACATCATGAGTTCCACTGGAAGCTCTGTGGAGAAGTGTCTCTATGATTGGGTCCATGTGTTTGTACAGACTCCTCTCATTGGACATCACATCACAGAGGAGAAGACTGTAAACATGGAGGTAACCAAACCTGGATCTATGGTTATAAACTCGTCAAATCTGCGTTTAAATGTTTTTTAATCAAGTGCACATATTTGTGAAACTTCAAGGATAGAAACAGAGACGTTTTGAAACAACGTATTCAGCAACAGGATTTCTGATTGTACTCTCCAGTGACCCAGGATGCTCAACACATCTACAAGTTGATGTGGCTCCTTTGAACTAGAATCAGACTATAGATCTTCATATACAGCAGGGTTCATGCAGGAAGTCTAACCTCCATGATGCTGGACTCCATCAGGGTCTGCAGGCTGGTCTCCATCCTCTGAACCTCCTCCTGCAGCTGCTGGACTTCAGCTTCCTTCACTTCACACTGAGAGGAGAGAGAGAGACATGTTTTATCATTAACCTTTGTTCGTATGTATATCAGGACTAAAGTGACTCATCTGCATCATCTGTTAGAAACTAAACTAATGTCTAGTTTACACTGCAGGACTTCACCCTGATTTATAATTAAAAAGTAAGGTTTTATACTGAGACCTTTTCTATTGAACTTAGTTATGCTTCCTTTAGGTAACAATAAAAAGGAAACACTACAGAAGTTTCCTTTTGATCTAGATCAGGCATGGGCAAACTAAGGCCCGCGGGCCATATACGGCCCGTTGGGCTTTTTAATCCGGCCCGCCGAATATTGGTACAAAATTGTCCAAATTATAGTAAAGACCGCATTACATTATTACATGTTACTTGTTAGACGCTTTTATCCAAAGCGACTTACATACTCAATACTGTGGACAATCCCCACAGGAGCAATTTGGGGTGAAGTGTCTCAGGGACACAACGACATGCTGACTGCAGTGGGGTTTGAACCTGTGACCCTCTGATCCCCATACCAAGGCTCTATCCACTGCGCCACACGCATTAATTTTGCCTTTTTCCTGCAATACCCAGCATTTCAGTTGATCCCACTAGATGGCGCACTCTAGACACAATTGACCTTTGCTGGAGTCGGCAACCCTGCAAGATCTAAGAACCAAATACGTCACGCTTACATTGGAGGGGGTCGAGATTAACCTGAGCAATAACAGTTCATGGCGAAATACAAGTTGTTACAAGCAGTAGCGCTGAGCAAAGTGACTAGAATGCGACCACACACTTATAAAAAACACTTATATAAAGTCAGGCAACACTAACCATGCTTAGGCCCAGGCCCCACGGGAACGAGAACGGGTTGTATCCGCCTTAGTGTGATTCTGTTTATTTGACCTTACTTTAATGAACATCCGCTCGCTGTTATTGACCATTGTGAAGAGGCAGACATTTTCCTGTTGTTTTGTATTATTGCAACTATCGGATGGAATCAATACATGGGCTACATGTGGCCATCACAAGTAAAATCATAACGAAAACTACGCCGGTAAAATGTGCGTGTAGAAAACGGCTTATGCCACAAAATGATAGCAACAAGTAGTCAAGATAGTCTGATTAGCTTTGGTTGCTATGCTAACATCACCTGTAGAATGCCAGAGAAACTTTCATAACCGCGTTGTGATGCCAAACAGCGTCAATTCAGACAAACACATTCACTGATGGGGATGGGGGATATTTATTAGCTGCTTGTGTGACAGTCGGACAGTGAATACTTTCCAGCGGCCGCTGCCACGAGTTAACGAGAGAATAAACTCCGGTGAACGAGCAGCACTGCAGCGGGTGATAATGCAGCTGAACCACATTAATAAACAATGAACCACGGCACTCTGGAGAAAGGTATATGGTTGGAGAAGTAGTTATTTAATTTAATCTGGCTTCGTATGATTAAAAACTACCCGACGCAGTCCTCTATTGATGTTGTTGTGAGCGGTGTTGCGGAGAAAATCAGCGACGTAAAACGCTGTGTGGGTCATAAGAAGGCACGTAAACGATGACACAATGACGCCATAATTCACGTTTGAACCTAATTCACCTTTGAACCTGCATCTGTAACAATGAGTGGAACAAAGAAAAGAAAAGTCGACAATGAGTGCCGAGTGTTTAATGAGGAGTGGACAGCTGAATATTTTTTCACCGTTCTGCTACTGGCCCGGCCCGTAAACTCATAGTGGCCCCCAAGCCAAAAAGTTTGCCCACCCCTGATCTAGATGATACTCAATGACCTATTACATTTATAATACTCTGCCCCAAACAACTCTAGAATCTAAATACATCGTTTACCGTTATAATCATGCACCAATCCACATAACTATATATACAGAGAAGATCAACTGAAATCTATACTCTTAGTAACATATTCAAACAGTAACCTCTGTGATGTTGGTGTCTGTTTCCTTCTGTCTGCTCTCCAGCTTCTTCTCCAGTGTCTCCACTTCCTGTTCAGCTTCAGCCTTCTTCTTCTTCTGTTCTTCTTTTTTTGAACCCTGGATATTTTTGAGAAAAGTGACTCAACATACTGTTCAGTCTTTAAAGTGTTGCACAGTTTTATGTGTTAAAGAATCCAGTCTGATTATCTCTTTACAATCTATTAGTGATGCACATTGATATTAAGATAATTGACTCCTGTTGTGTCCACATTGTTATTTTTAGTTGTCTTATATAATAATAATAATAATAATAATAATAATAATAATAATAATAATAATAATAATAATAATAATAATAATTCATTACATTTATTTAGCACTTTTCCAAATGCTCAAAGCGCTTACATTACATATGACATATATCAGACATGTAATACATCAATACTGTGAACAATTCCCACAGGAGTGATTTAGGGTGAAGTGCCTTGCTCAAGGACACAACGGCATGTTGACTGCAGTGGGGGTCAGGGCGGGATTGAACCGGTTCCCCAGCGCCCCTGATCTGAGGATCCACAGCCGTAATGCACTAACATCATGTCCACTTACCGGATGAAATCTGGAAATGCTTTTTATGGTCCTCTGAATTGTCCCCAGCTGGTAGAGGGAAATACATGTAGAGACACGTGAGTACTACATCACAGCATGTGATCATTATAGATGCTCATACAGTTAGGTGGATCTATTATGCTCAATGTTACTGAATGGAAGAACATGTATTGAAGTAAACATGGTGTACTACAATTCATTTTGTAAGCCTAACCCCTAAGTGTGCATGCTGTGTCACTGCTCCTGCTGACTTGTTTTGGGGTTTCCCTCAAATGCTTTTCTGTTTTACAATAAATGCAGAATATTTAAGATGAAGACGTGAACCTCTCTGTTCTTGTTCTCCAGATGTTCCTTCAGGCTCTGCAGCTGGTTCTGGTTCCTCTGTTTCTCTGCATGGAGATCCTGCAGCTGGTTCTGGTTCCTCTGTTTCTCTGCATGGAGATCCTGCAGCTCAGACTCTTTAGATTCAACCTGAAAGAACAGCAGGAAGATTAAGATCATTTATTCACAGTCTAAAAGTAGGACTGTCTGGATGTGGTCTCCACTTGGACCTGCACTGCAGGTTTGACCTTGTCTACACTAAGGACGACATTGAAAGTGACTTCAAACAGGAATCAATGTGTTTCATTATTGAAGTGGAGATGAACCTCTTTCTTCTTGTTCTGCAGCTGCTCTTTCAGAGTCTGGACTTCCTTCTCAGCTTCCTCTCTCCTCCTCTCCTCCTCTTTCAGAGTCTGGACTTCCTTCTCAGCTTCCTCTCTCCTCCTCTGCTCCTCAAGCAGCTGCTGCTCAGATTGATTTTTCTATGAGAGGAACAGTCACGTTTCTTTAGTGATTATTTCTTAAGGTGCCACACAATGACACATGTTTTCATGCATTTCTGGCAGATCCTGTATCTTGATGTGAAAGTCTTCTGTGCTTCTTGCTAAGACTTCACTTTTCATGTTGTTGTTTCTTTACTTACCGGTTTGCTCTTATTGTCTACGTTTCCCTTCAAAGCCTCCATATGCACAGCGTCAGGTTTCATCAGCTGTCCTCTTTCTCCTTCATTGAGAAACTGATCTTCATCCGAACTCTTTCTCTTTGTCTCTGTGTGAAATGAAACGTGAGTTAAGATGTGTTGAAAGACAATTAGAGGAACTTTAGGAAGGGATCGAAGCACATCAAACTTTTCAGTCTAAATGTAGCTGAACAGTTGGGTGATTGGTCAACGGCTTAGAGATGTCCCGCCCCTAGTGCTAGCCAATAGAAGCGCAAGTGTTACAAAGTGATGTCACTATGTTCAAAACAAAGGAGTCCAATGGAGGCATTTCAGGCGGGGGGGGGGGAGTTTGTGGGAGAGAGTTTAGCCTTTGCAGACCATTAACATGCACACAAACCTACAGAACATACAGCTCTCAGCATAATAGGGTCCCTTTAACCAAACTGAATCAAATCACCAGACTGTTAGTGACTTACTGAATATGTGTTCTCTCCACAAAAAGAAGAAAGAAACAGCCAGCATTATCAGAATGCAAACAGCCAAACTGACGGCCAGACCAATATTGATGGAAGAAGAACTGGACTGGAGCTTAAAGAACTCATCTGAAATGATAAAACACAGAACATCACAGGATTTATGTAAAACTTGGTCTCTGATATATAAACTAAAACATGTTAAAGGAACATTTAGTCTACCTGGAAAATGGATTTGCGTCTGTGTGGTGTGGTTGGTGTTGTGGTGCTGGACTCTGCAGGTGAAGCTGCTGCTGGGTCTCTTCTCCACAGTCACTCTGCTGCTGACAGTATAGAGGTCATCAGGACCTCTGACTGTCTCTGGAGGTCCAGCAGAGAGGAGCTTTCCCTCAGCGTCCAGCCACAACACCTCAGGCTCCGGATACCAGCCTGCAGACTCACACTGCAGCACCACTCCTCCACTCTGACCGTCCAGCCCTGATAACGTTACGACTGGTGGGAGAGCAGCAGCTGATACTAGTAAAGAAGAACAGAGTGTCAGAATACTTGAGAATTATTACAGAAATCCTAACCAAAGAGTGCTGGAACAATCTCCTCATTGACTTCAGGACAGCAGAGAGTCTCTGTCCTCTCAGACAAATCTTGAGTTCTTAACCTTTAAGAGCATTTGCTTTCAGTGTTTAAACTATGTTCAACTCATTATTAAAAGTTACCCTAACCCTAATAAATAGTATTCATCCTGAAATTGAATTGTCTCCCAGTTGTATGGCTTGTTGCTATGTGAATAAACATGTTTTGTAAAAAGCGGTGACTTATACTATTTCCATACAACCAACTACAATCTGATACTCTCATCTTTGGGCTCCAGACTAGAGTATTCAATTATCATAGTCTTTTGGAACACAGAGATAAAAATACAGTCCTTTCCTAGAGATAAAAGGCACATGCACCCTGAACACATACATTGTGAACTTACCACAAACTAGTTGAACAAAAGCTTGCCGGCCCAGTTCTGGAATGAAACATCTGTATTTCCCCTGATCGGAGAGTTGTACGTTGGAGAGTTTCAGAGAAATGTTTCCGTTCTTCAGCTCATCGGTGAACATCGATGTTCTTCCCTTGAATAATTTGTGTTTTTTATCCACAAGTTCGTGACCAAGCCGCATCACATGGACGAATCTGGGGTCCATGTCGGGCCTCGTCCACTCCAACGTCAAATCGGCAACATTTATTGCCGGCACCAGATAACACGGCAAAATGATGTCACCGCCAAGGTTTGCTACGATTGGCTGAGGTGAGCCAATCAGCTGAGACTGACCTGGGAATACAAAGGAAGTACATTTTAATCTCTTCCAATTTAAACATGTGAAATAAACAAACTCGATTAGAGAACAGTTTTTTACACCAGGCTGTCAGGAGGCTGAACTCTCTCCCCTCTCTCCCCCCTGCCCCCACTAGTCTATAACTCCTCCACACTCAGACACTCAATTCCAGCACCAGACACATTTTTACGCTGCTATGGACAATCTTGAAGTGACTGTTATTTTGTATATATTGATTGCTGTGTTTTATCTTAATGTGTGCATATGTGTAAATGTGTCTATATTATTATATATATTATTACTATTGTATATATATAAGATATACATATTTTATACATATTTTATACATATTTTATACATATTTGTGTACATATTTGTATATTTGTATTATTGTATTTTTTATTCGGGATTGTTGGAAACGTTATTTCGATCTCTGTCTGTACAAACACACAGAAAACAACATAACTAACATTAAAGTTGACTGACTTCGACTTTGACTTGAAAAATCCAAGTAATTGTACTTGAATTAAGACAGATTTGGATCTTTTTTATTAACATGTGTGATAGTAGAAAGTATAGATGGACATAAATGATGGTAGCTCGAGTGTTCACTACATAGTATTTACTTATAAGTGACATATCTTTGGCGTCTTTTGGAAAATAAAACCATAACGACCAATATATTGGAATTCAAGGTTCCTGAAAGACTTTTGAACCTCTTGGCTCTGTATTTAGGATTTAGAAAGTCTTGGCAGTAGACAGTAGACTAATCAGAGAGGATTTAACAGAGAGTGGTAATGGGCTCATTGTTGCTGTTCCCTCTGCAGCATGAGGCTCTTAGTCCATGCAGTGTAGAAGGATCTTTAGTTAATTATCACTCCTCAATATTCATTGTGAAAAATATCAATTTGCGGGGAGTGATCAGGACAGAGCCTACACGCTAAACTCAAACTATATTCTGCTGTTAATATACATTTAAATTCAACTTCCTCCTTCCACTATAAAATGTACTTTTAAAGCTTGTGTGATAGTTACCTCTACAGTGGTGTGTTAGGAGAAGAAGGAAAACTAAAACATTGAGAGCTCTGAGAGGAGTTGTAAGGGGCTTTCCGTCAGTGTGGAGAAGCATCATGGAGAGCTGGAGATGAACAGAGAACAGAAAACAGTGTGAACTTCCAGGTGAAAACATATCTTAAATCGTTTTTTATGTAAAACTTGGAAAAAAGGCTTGTCAGAAAGAAATCTAATAGTCATTTAAATATAAAGTGAAATTCACATTTGGACTTTACTTGTACTGGAAGCTCCAATAAAGGGAAAGTAAAACTTTGCTGCCATCTTCTGTGCTTTACTTATAATTACACATATTCAATGTTTCCTCATATTATGTCCTCTGTATCAAACACACCCTACTTAAGAGAGAACAGCTTCACTTTACCGTCATTTTCACTTCTGTGTTGACAAATATTCTATAAATATGAACAAAGAGTCTTGTCATGTTGTGTCTGTCTCTACGCCGTTCAGAAGAAAAAATGACATTTTACTTTCACTTTAGTATCTTAAGACTTCAATAGTGTTTTAAAGCTGCCATTATTGTTTAGATATTTTACAATAATCTTAATAAAGACTCTCTGTACACAATTACCAGTTTATTCAATTGTATTGATCTGTACATATGGGAAGATTGAACAATTAACCTGTTAAACCCGCGGGGGAGAAACCACAACATCTGCAAGCAACAGTGTCTGAGGGCTTTTTAAGATTTAATAAACTATGAATGAGCGACATGAGAAGCTAACAAAGACATCACAACACGTAGCATTAGGTAGCCAACACGGCAATATGTCTTACCTTTGTTGTTGTCTGATCAAAAGTTGTCTTCAATGGCATTAAAACGATAAAAACGCTGCTGAAGGTTAATCCATAGGTGAATCCAATGTGTCTGTGTCACTTTGAAATGATTTCTGATAATCCATCAGCAATAAAACTAGTTTTAAATGTTCAGATTTCAGAGCGTAAAATAGGTTTCGCTTTGAGCAAACTGCGTGAGAGGGGTCTGCCTAGTGCCTGCAGGCCTCCACTCTCAGGACAGTTCGCTGTCAGGACACCTCCACTGTCAATACAGGAAGTGACGATTCTGACGAACACGTGTCCAGCCGTTCTCCCCCCCGTAGACAAACAAGGACAGGCAAACAAATGAATATCGTAAAATAAAATAAACAGAAAAGGCAGTCAAGAGGAAGTTGATTGAGAGGGGGGGGGCTTATGGGTAGACAGAGAGTATAACTGGATCAGCAGCTCCTGAGGCAGGTATACTCCGAGCTGGCGCAGGAAGTGTTCTGCCATCACGACTTGCATGAAGGGCAAAAATACTCATCCTCTGTGGAGGGCAGTCCCACGCATCCACGAGTCAGTTCATTAATAGACCAACAAACAAAACATAGTACCAGGAGTAAATTATGAAGTAAAATAAAAACACATTAAAGGGGACCTATCATGCAAAATGCACTTTTGTACGTCTTTTATACATGAATATGTGTCCCCGGTGTGTCAGGGAACTCACCAAGTGTCAGAAAACACAACCCTCTCTCTTTTCTTCCATACCCAAATCTCTAAAAACGGGGCTGCAACGGAGCTGATTATTATTTGAATTTTTCTGACGTCAGAAAAGGGGTGCTCCGCCTATATGGCCAACTCTCCAGGGGAATGAGAGCCCGCTCGAAAGCGCTGGAGACGCTGTAGTACATATGCCAGGCCTGTAAGTGGCGCTGTAGTCTGCCACAAAAGCTGCGAACAAGACTTCTCACAGAATCAGCCCTTGCAAAAACAGGGCTGGAAAAGAGCAAATAGAGCGAAATGAGGCATGGCTAAAATGCATGATCTGTTTGGTATTTTGAAAAAAAAACTTCACAGACATGTTTTATATAGGTATGGCCCTACACAACCCAGTCTCACGGCATTTCGTGTTATAGTCACGAAATTAATTTAATCTATTGATTAGTGTTCACCAACACGATTTTCGCATTTTTTTCGTGTCACACAGAACGATTTTAAAAGCAATGTATTTCTATTGGTAGTATGTTTCGTGCCTGCAACACGTCTTTTTGTCCGGTCGGGTCTTGGAATACCAGAAGCTGTGTGGTTCATAAAAACATGTTCTTACTCAATATCTTACCCTAAGCCTAACCCTTTTATTTTAAATTGTATAATGTGGGAGTTTTTTTGCCGTCCACGAGGAAAAGAAATGGGGCTCAGAGCCTCAGAATACTGAAATCTGTATTTTTTGTCATCTTTTTTTCCTTCTAATTTGTGTCCGGCATTTGGTAAGCAATGCTCTAATTGCCAGGGCAAGAACCATTTTGCTAAGCAGTGCTTCTCAAAAGGAAATGAGAGGAAGAAAAGAAAGTCTGTAAACATAGTGGAAGACGATGATTTAAGTGAGACATTTTTTGTTGGCATGGTGAACTGTGAAACTGAGCAAAAAGAGGTTAATGCAATCAGAGAAGACAAATGGATAGCTCCGCTGATGATTAACGGGACAATAATAACTATGAAACTGGATACTGGTGCAAAAGCAAACATGATGAGCCTGTCTGACATCAAGGCAATGAAAGATAAGCCACAAATTAAAAGAAGAACACGGGCACTAAAAGATTATAATGGACAGAAAATCAACAGTTTGGGCGTGTGCATATTAAAGGTAACCTCAAAAGGTAAAGTGCACCACCTACTTTTCTCTGTTGTCGCTGATGGACTTGATTCACTGCTGAGTGATAAAGCATGTGAAGATTTGGAACTTGTCAAGAGAGTGTATTGCATCAACACAACTGTGAGAACACCAAATGACTCTATTGATTATATAGTACAGAGTTATGCAGATGTGTTTAAGGGTTTTGGTGTGTTGCCCTTCACATACAAAATCCAGCTCAAAGAAAATGCACAGCCAGTTGTGCATGCTGCAAGAAGAGTTCCAGCGCCACTCAGAGATCGCTTAAAGAAAGAGCTCGACAGAATGACAATGCTCGGAGTGATAAAAAAGGTTGAGGAGCCAATAGACTGGGTTAACTCGATGGTCTGTGTAAAGAAGAAAAGTGGTGATTTAAGAGTGTGCATGGACCCAAAAGATCTTAATGAAAACATCAAGCGTGAACATTATCAGATACCCAAGCGTGAGGAAATCACAAGTGAAATGGCAGGTGCCAGCTTCTTCACAAAGCTTGATGCGTCTCAAGGCTTTTGGCAGCTGAAACTGGATGAAAGCAGCACCAAATATTGCACCTTTAATACACCATTCGGCAGATATTGCTTCCTCAGACTGCCCTTTGGGATCATCTCAGCATCCGAAATATTTCACAGAGCGATGGAGCACATCATTGAGGGGCTGGATGGTGTTCGGGCATATGTTGATGACATCATTGTGTGGGGCTCTACACTACAAGAACACAATGAGAGGCTGAAAAAGGTACTGGAGCGCATACACAAGTATGGACTCAAGCTTAACAAGAGCAAATGCGAGTTTGGAGTTCAAGAAGTTGTCTTTCTCAGAGACAAGCTCTCTGCACAAGGTGCACAAGCTGACCAAGAAAAGATCAGAGCCAGGATATGCCAAGGCCCACAGACAAGACAGGTGTACTTCGCATTATGGGGATGGTCAACTTCATAGGTAAATTTATTCCAAACCTATCTGCAAAGACGTCTTGCATCCGTGAGCTCCTGCACAAAGAAAATGAGTTTAAATGGACAGTCAAACATGAGCAAGAGTGGAAAACACTCAGACAGACTCTGACAACTGCACCTGTATTGACATTCTTTGACCCAACAAAGAAGATTAAAGTTTCAACAGATGCTTCAAAGGATGGAATAGGCGCAGTGCTCCTACAAGTTGAAGGCGAGCATTGGAAACCAGTGGCCTATGCATCCATATGACACACACTGAGTGCAGATATGCTCAAATAGAAAAAGAATGTCTGGGACTGGTTTATGGCTTGGAGAAGTTCCACAGCTACATTTATGGCCTACCTTCATTCACAGTAGAGACAGATCATCGTCCACTTGTATCCATCATTAAAAATAATTTAAGTGAAATGACACCAAGGATACAGCGTCTCATGATGAAAATGCAGAGATATAACTTTGAGCTGATCTACACACCTGGAAAGCACCTGATACTTGCTGACGCTCTCTCAAGAGCACCTACAGTGGATAATGTGAGTACAACTGAAGAGGAAGTGAGAAGTCATGTGAACATGGTGTCTGCTGCTCTTCCTGTATCAGACACAAAGTCCAGACAGATAGCTGAAGAAACAGCAAAAGATACAGAGCTGCAGTGTGTCATTGCAAATATGCTAAATGGATGGCCTGTATAGGTTCCTGTCCGCTCCTCAACCACATCAGAGGTGAACTGAGTGTCGTTGATGGACTATTACTGAAACAACAAAGGATTGTCATTCCACACGCATTGAGACAGGAAGTACTACAAAGAATACATGAAGGTCATCTGGGTGTTGAAAAATGCAAAAGACGGGCGAGAGACAGTGTTTTCTGGCCTGGAATAAATAATGACATCGAGAGACTGATTGGTACGTGTGACACATGCCAGACACACAGAAACAAACAGACTAAAGAGCCCATGATGGTGACTGATGTGCCAACAGCACCATGGCATAAAGTTGGAATGGATTTGTTTAATCTCAAAGGTAAAGACTATTTAGTGGTCATTGACTGTTACTCAAACATTCCTGAAATGGCACTACTGTCAAACTCATCAACAACATGTGTCATAACACATTCAAAATCAATTTTTGCCAGACATGGCATACCTAACACAGTAATGAGTGACAACGGACCGTGTTTCAACAGCAGAGAGTGGCAAGGATTTGCAGAACAGTACGACTTCAAGCATGTGACCTCAAGTCCTCATTATCCACAGTCAAATGGGAAAGCTGAAAAGGGAGTTCACATTCTCAAGCAACTTCTAAAGAAAGCTGATGAGAGTGGCTCAGACCCATACCTCGCTTTACTCAGCTACAGAGCCTCACCTCTGGAGTGTGGACTGTCACCTGCTGAACTTCTGATGAATCGTAAGTTACGCACCACACTGCCAAGCTATTCAAAGCAAAAGAGACACCCAAAGCTGCAACACCAACTACAACAACAACAGATGAAGCAGAAAACATGCTATGACAAAACAGCTAAGCAGCTTCCATTACTATCAAGTAATGACACAGTCAGGATTGAGGGTCCTGATGGATGGAGAACAAAAGCCACTGTTCTTCCGCGATCCTTCACTGTGAGGACAGAGGAAGAACAAATCTTCAGACGCAATCGTCGCAGTCTTATGAAAACAAAAGAGGCTGGTCAACAGCTCAGTGAATCCATCATTGAGTCTGAGTCCACACCTTCACCACAGAAAGACTGTGATACTAACACTCCAAGTTTAACATGTGGTCAGAAGATCTACAAGGGAAATCAGAAAACCTGATAGACTGAATCTGTAATTGAGAGACTGGTTTAATGGATGTTAAAATGGTGTAAATGTTTAGACAATTTCCAAGTTTGTGCTAGTTGGCATTCTGAGTACATTTAGACCAGATGTTTATTTGTTATGGCATGGTAGAGAAATCAAAATGTTTGGTTAAAATTGATGTTGCACTATTTGTTTATGTTAGGCTTGTTTGAGACAAGCGAGACCTGCGCAGACCTGCGCAATTGCGATCAACGTCTTGCTCGTGCGTTGCATGATGGTTAGTCATTTTGTCCGACTTGCTCTGGAGGCTCGCCTACATGAGACGTTGAAATCTCGCGGGACAAAGACGCCCGCAGACTTGAGAGCGAGGCGCGGCGAGGCGGCGCAGTTTCTCTCCACGGGCTGCGGAAGCGAAATGCTTGATGGGAAACGACTCGCTGGTATCTCGAGCTGAGCACTCATTGGTGGGTTTTACCCCGTGCTGGGGATGAAACTCTCCATTGGCTCGGCAAAAGTGTGTTGTTGTTTTGTGTCAGTTTCACGTCGCCACTTCCATTCACATTTTTCATCATTGTTCCACAATGTTTATCATCATTAAATTAATATCTATATATTTGTATACTATACTTGCACTGCTTACCGTTGTCATACTTTATATATCTTAGCATATTCATACAACACACTGTTAATACTAGGCTAGGCTACTGTGTATATAGTGTATTCATACCCCTCACTGTTTATTCATCATTCAATTCATTCTATATTTTATTCTGTAGATTGTGTACATTACTTTTCACTTTACTGCTTTGTGCACTCCTGGTTAGAAGCTAAACTGCATTTCGTTGTCTCAGTACCTGTAATCTGTGCAATAACAATAAAGTTGAATCTAATCTTGAGCAGGAACAAATGTATTTACTTAGTACATATCTGACATTAACGATTAAACACATTTGTCCATTCTTTATCAATCAATCAATCAATGTTTATTTATATAGCCCAATATCACAAATGTTACATTTGTCTCAGTGGACTTCACAGTTTGTACAGAATATCAGTATGACAATACGACACCCTCTGTCCTTACGTTTCACATCATACAAGGAAAAACTTCCAGAGAAAAACCCACAGTTTAAAGGGGAAATGGGAGAAACCTCAGGGAGAGCAACAGAGGAGGGATCCCTCTCCCAGGACGGACAGACGTGCAAGAGATGCCGTGTGCATTTATAAATGCAAACCGAGTCAAGCCGACTCCGGAGGTGGCGGTATGCACCTTAAAGTTGTTTGAAATCCGCCAAAAAACCGAGAGAAGAAGAAGAAGAAGAAGAAGTCGACTCCGAGCTGTCCGACTTCAGGCGAGCTTTTTGAGACATCCCCCGGCTGCGATCGGCTATTCTCGTCTACTTTCGAGGCGAGCCGCAGCTCGTCTCAAACAAGCCTATTACCTCAAAGAAAGGGGGATGTGTTGATTAGATAGATACACACTCCTACCACAAGGTGTCGCCACATAGTTGTGATCTATGTTTAAATCCACATGTACGGAAAATGACCTGAATAAGACTTGAATGACCTTTTTGTTGCTCCTAAAAGATGATCCATGGTGTATGAATACATGTATTTGTCTAATGCACACATCAAAGCTGACATTTCATTCACCTTGTTACGTCCTTGCATTTTTGGATCTGTGCTTCTGTGGCCACAAATGGGTCCAAGTACAGGGCCCGCCTTTCCTTCAGGTACATGATCTATGGAAATGCAAATACTAATTATAACTAACCCCTACATCAGATAGTGTCATTGTTCGGTCTAGATCTGTTTACGTTGAAGATTACTTACAATCAGTGTCCAGTGTCCGTGGTGGCAGACCGCTCCAACTGCCACATCATGTTTGAAAAGGTCCAACTAAAAAAATATATAATAATTCCAACAACTAATGTATACACTAACATAAGTATGTATTTGTGTGTATGGACATACAAACATACATATACACAAAATACATAGGCCTACTTATGTACACAAAATATAGTCCTACTCACACTTCTCAAAGAACCTTTGTGGTTTCCCTCCCAGAGCGACGTCATGAGGTAGGAGTCTATCATGAGAGCGCCAGCTTTCCTTCCCACCATAGTCAAATAGGAATTGACGATCTAAGAGTACAAAAATAACTTGTGATACAATCTAAATAAATATCAAATCAAATCAAATCAAGTTTTATTTATATAGCACATTTATAAACTATTTTTGGTCGAGCCAAAGTGCTACATATAATAAAAATACCCTACAGTCAAGACACTTTACAGCAAATACAACAGCACAGTTTGTTCAGAATATCAGTATGAGAAAAACGACACCCTCTGTCCTTAGACCCTCACATCGTACAAGGAAAAACTTCGGGAGAAAAACCCTAATTTCAAAGGGAAAAATGGGAGAAACCTCAGGGAGAGCAACAGAGGAGGGATCCCTCTCCCAGGACGGACAGACGTGCAATAGATGCCGTGTGTAAATCGAAGAGATAATACGTTTTACAGCGTAGGTAGACCGAATGTTAGGAAATGCATGTGTCTATAATAAGAAGATGAATCCACGAAGATGTTGACAACAATCCTGTGGGAGCCATCAGGGAAGCAGCATGACGAGACCCAGGCAGGACCGCAGAGACAGGCCCAGCCACGACCCTTAATCCAGAACTCAGGATAGAGGATCCAGGACACAGGACCACAGCAAGAGGATCAGCCTCGACTCCGGATCCCGGCGTCGATATAGACACAAAACAAGAAAAATGTGGCTGGGTTAATCGGAACATGAGAATACACAGACACAGACAGACAGAAGGAAGAACAAGCACTCCCTTAGGATAGGTTAAGGGATAAGGGAATGCTCTGGTTTTCGGACAAAATTAACATGGGATCACTCCCGTCACCGGACGTACTTCGTCTCACTGGAATATTAACGGTCATAGTGAATATAAAATCGTCCCCATGTATCCGGCCAATGACGGTAGAGTTTTGAAAGAGACAAAACACTGTTCCATACATTTAAAAACACTTAAACAATTAAACAATGTTTACCCCAGGATTCAGGCACCTTCCCTGGCTTGTAAAGTGCAGTTATGCGCCCTGGAGGTATTGCACTATTTACAAAATGTATACCCAGGATTCAGGCACCTTCCCTGGCTTGTAAAGTGCAGTTATGCGCCATGGAGGTATTCTGCTATTTACAAAATGGAGCACTCTGTTTATTTCACACTTCAGCACCACGGACAGCGCTGAAGGGAAGTGGGATGTGGGATGTGCAGGAAGTCATGCTGCTTCCCCATAGTTAGCCCCGAGATCCCTCTCCGCATAACATATACAGCCACCGGCTGTATATGTTATGCATTTATACATACATGTACTGTGGTGAGTTAAACAACCTTACTCGGGTTTCTAAAATAGGGGGACGCATCGGGGGTCTCGGGGGGGTTCCCCGGGTCCGGTAAACAAGAGGTCTGGGGACTTAGTTTATTTCACACTTCCAGGAGAGACAACAGGAAAATCATCTCTCTTTGCCCGCTCACAGACCCCCAAAGGACGGCCTAGAGACCTCCAGCACCAGTCCCTAACAGTGGGACTCTGTTTATTTCACACCTCCAGGACAGAGACCGGGAAAAGCCCCTCTGTTTGCCCGCTCACAGACCCCCAAAGGACGGCCTAGAGACCTCCAGCACCAGTCCCTAACAGTGGGACTCTGTTTATTTCACACCTCCAGGAGAGAGTCCGGCAAAGTCCCCTCTCTCTGCCCGCTCACAGACCCCCAAAGGATGGCCTAGAGACCTCCAGCACCAGTCCCTAACAGTGGGACTCTGGTGATGGCAACATTGGGTCCGATGCATCAATACATGGTGCCCCGACCATGAGAGGGTTTGGGGTGCCCCGGAACCAGGCACCACCTCAGCAGGAAACGGGTTGTCTGGTCAAAGGAGGAAAGAGTGATAGAACCGGGGTAAAGCAAAGAAAGTGTCCGACAATAGTCACTTGTGAGGCGGCCAGAGAGTCTGTCATATCTCGGTCCTATCCTCCAGGCAACGCTGTGGCCAAAACTGGGTGAAAATGGGCTAAAAACAAAAACAAAAAAATGTCATCCAGGGAAATTTGGGTGAAAATGAAAAAAAGTACCCAGGAATAGTGCCTCATGACCCCGCAAAAGCGTCCTCCAGGCAACGCGGTGGCCAGAACTGGGTGAAAATGGGCTAAAAACAAAAAAATATATATATATTTCATCCAGGGAAATTTGGGTGAAAATGAAAAAAAGTACCCGGAAATAGTGCCTCATGACCCCGCAGGAGTCCCCTGTCGACTCCCCTGGCATTCCTCCATGGGCAAAATAATCAGTTAACTTTTGTGAGAACCAGGAAAAGGGGTCAAAATGAGAAAATTGTGTCCCAATATAGTGCATCATGACCCCGCAGGAGTCCCCTGTCGACTCCCCTGGCATTCCTCCATGGGCAAAATAATCAGAGTTAATTTACATTCTTCCAAGATTAGAAACAGCCGTTTTTTGCACCCAAAAACCGGGTTTCTGATTTCGTGCAGACGGTAGTTTGAAAGGTTTGAACACATTTTTTTAACAGGGAAGGGGAAAAGGTCCCGGGGCTTAATTTCCCCTTCTCCGTTGCACCAAACAACGGAGAAAGGGAAAAAGTGCCAACAGTCCCTTCTCCGTTGGCACGATTATTTTAAGATATAATTAACCGTTTTCTTCACTTTTATTTGCTTTCCACGGGTGGGGGCGCATGGCAGGCCGCCTATGAGCACCCAAATTCGGCCTGGGTCATCCAGGATTTGTGGGCTAAGCTCCATAAACTGACTAAATCCCCCAGAGAGGTCACCTTTCTAGCCCAAAAATATATAATACAAATACATTTAAATAGTAAAAGGTGCAATTGTGCTCTGCATTACCCGGAATTAGATTTTCATAGCCCCATGATAGTGATTAAAAATCATTTTCATGGGAAAAAGTGTTAAAACGCCTGATTAAAGCATACAGATGAAGCGTCTTATTTTGGACAGTTTAAAGTGCGAGGGTCGTGATCGGTTCATGCACGTTCCGTGATGGCCGGCCGGCCCCCAGTCAGACTTGATACCGCCCCCATGATAAATACATTTAATTATTGTGAAGCCAGCTGCAATGGATCATTGATCCACCAGGGGGTGCAGTGGGGTTCCACACTGGAGTCATGTGAAATCAACTTCTAAATAATAGATGTTGTTTAGTCGGAAAAAACGAACGAGCCGGCTCTCCCGATTTTTAATCCTAATTTAATCATCATCATTGATGTTTATGTTCACCGAATTGACATGAAATCACTGACAAATATGAATATTCTGTATTCAACTTCATTGAAACGATCAGGATGGGTGTTATTTTTCCCCACAATGACCAAGTCGCTGCAAATGATCCCATGTATTACATGTACATGGCCACATTCTCAACAAAGTTACGTAACGAAACATTCTGTATTCCTTGCTTACTTTTATTTAATGCTTTATAACAGCTGGAATAGTTCGTTTAGAACAGGCACCTCACTCGCAATCTGCTCCTCCGCAACGCCTACCACCTACCTCCGGCTGAAATTATGAATGTACAGTAAGGCATAGTAATCATAGATAACACGGCAGGGTCCGTTACAGTTTGTTTTCATCTGATTTCAAATATTTCAAATGTCTGAAGTTAATAAATACATTCTCAGTGTTCAAGTCAATAATAGTCATATAAGAAAAGTACTGATCTAATAACAGAGATTTTATAAGGACTTTTCAATGTTCGACATCGCTCATGTGAAATACAGTAAACTGGATGTTGTGGTGCCGAGAGGCGGGGTATCAAAAGTACAAGCTAAACTTTTATTTAGCATCTGAACGATCTGAACACACTTGTAAACAACGTGATGCCCGGGAAGCGAAGACCCGGCGGAAACAGCTGGTCTGGTTCACTAAAATGTCCGTGTACAGTATATCTGGTACTAATGTATAGCGGATCTTTGTTAAGATCCATATGTCACGGATAGATATTATATATAGAGATGGGATGGCAGAAGGTGCTATATATATATATATAATTCCAAAGCTGGTAAAGACCTTTCAAATTTAGCAATAATAGTCATATAAGAAAAGTACTGATTTGTTCTTGAATATTATAATAAAATAAACACCGGCTGTTGTTATGCCTGCTGTAACGTTTACTTTCTCCGTTCTCCGCTTAAGTAATTATTACTTCCTGGTTAGCTTTCCGCTCGAAATTTAAATCTGAAAATGGCAAAATAACGGAGAAAAAAACGTTCACAGAGAAGACGACAACAATTGTCACTTGCACTTGTCATTTAGCATCTGAACACACTTGTAAACAACGTGATGCCCGGGAAGCGAAGACCCGGCGGAAACAGCTGGTCTGGTTCACTAAAATGTCCGTGTACAGTATATCTGGTACTAATGTATAGCGGATCTTTGTTAAGATCCATATGTCAGTAGAGATGGGATGGCAGAAGGTGCTATATATATATATATATATATATAATTCCAAAGCTGGTAAAGACCTTTCAAATTTAGCAATAATAGTCATATAAGAAAAGTACTGATTTGTTCTTGAATCAACTTTTTTATGGAAAATGTTTTATGTAATTTTATTTCATTTTAAATAAAATGAAAGACATTCACAGTTAATGTAATTAGATATACATTATTAATGCCATACATTTTTAAATGTAATTAGATATACATTATTAATGCCATACATTTTTGCATAAATATTTATTCAGTATGATAGCTGTCTAACAGAAGTTAAATCCATTTCTCACTTATTCTGACAATGTACTTAACCCCAAATAAAAGAACCCAATAAAAATAGTTGTTAAATAATAGTGAAGTCACGTTGTAATAACAATAATTCATCTCTCTCGGTTTTTTTTGTTTTCTTTGTGTGCTTTGCCAAAAGCCACTGTGTCAAGTGTCCTAGTTGGGTTACCGTAACGAACAGCAGCCGGCTCTCGATTTTTAATCCTAATTTAATCGTTTATGTTCGCCGAATTGACATGAAATCACTGACAAATATGAATATACTGTATTCAACTTCATTAAAATGTTATTAACGTGCCTAAACTCAGTAATTCACTAAAAATTACTGATCCCTCCGCGACGCGGAGGGATCCCTGGGTCCCTTGATCCCTGGGTGTTATTTTCCCCCATAATGA